ACCAAAGCACAGTCATACATTTACCCTGGTCATGTTTTCAATTCTTGCTGACAAAAACAACGCAGTCAATTATTTGCTTCACCACTGAATCTTTATTGATCGGATACCACAACCTGGATTTCGAAGCATTTAAAGTTAACGAAGGGAGAGTGCCAAATGTTTGAAACTTTGGATGCGTAGATAACGCGATGCCATCAACTCTGCTGGCTGCAATATTCCCTAACCTACGTAATAACGTAACGTGAAGATGTAATAGTTAGAAGCAGCACCCTCGTTTGTATTTTTCAGACAGTGGTAGCTTAATAGTGATATTTCAAGTGACAACTTTTTTGTTTTTTAAGCTTTAAGTCTGTTTCTTTGAAAAACTAATCTGGGTTTCTTATGTGCTCTGATGTGCTCTGATGTGCTCTGTTATGCCTCTGGTGTGCTCAAAACCTATTTTAAAGGTTGAGATGATAATTGCTCTGACTTTCGTACTGATTACTGAAAAGCCGGTTTGAAAATTTAATTTGCTTATTTCCCCCAATTAGGTATTATCTCTACAATTCTCCTGGCGTTCTCTCTGCGGCGAGGCCTTCTGAAGTTGATCCAGATGCCACAATTTGGAGACTACAGCAATGATCTGGGATTTGTACACGGAATGCGAGTTCTCTCAGCCACATGGGTTGTCCTCGGTCACAGTTACATTATAAGAGATCAGCAATCTAACTGTACGTATTCATTTCCTTGTTGACTTTGTTTTAAACAAATGCTCTCCCTTATAAGTCATACAATCTTGCAGATATATAAAAACTCAGACTTTCCTTGCGTCCATAGATACATTGTATAGGAGAAAATATTTAGATTACTACCTTTAGGACAGGCCGTCATATCCTGCACAAGCAACCAAGCTGTGCTCAGGCACTCGTTTTGTTCTTTGCGGGAACCCGTGAAGGATGTTAGGGAACTGTTCAGCCACTCTTAAATTCGCACAAGACGTCTTTTTCTTTAGTTTTATGCAACATCTATCATAAACATGTGTGTTAACTTTTTATGTCTAAACCTTTTAACTAGGCAAGAATCTTCAGAATCTATCACGTACGGTCAGTGTTATGAGAACTACTCTCAGGCTGCCAGAGAATGCATGACCTCTCAATAGTCATTTCATGAATGACCATAATTTAGGTTAAAGTAATGCTGCGGTTCCAAAGGCAATTTTACCCATGGTATTGAACAAAAATTAATTTTATACAAATGTACAGGTGCATCTTCGATTACAGGTATGGAGCTATTGCAAAATGTAACTCAACACCGCTGCATATTTTTTTATTTGTCAACGGAGCTACGCATTTTCATAGTTTTGGAAAGAGAGGTGCTACAACATGCTCCCCAGGGTTCCACTGGCTATGGCCACGTTATCCAAACTTTTATATTTTCCAAACATCAACATTGGATAGATAAAGTCGCAATATTAAGAATTACTGATTACATGAAACCAAAATCCACGAAAGTGACAAATTCAAATAAATGGTTACGCTAAAGAGTTTATATTCTGTCTTACAATATCATCTTTTTTTTAATTTTCAGCTGATTTCACTGTTTTCTTAAAGAGAGTGCAGAATGATATCTTCTTCTCTGTACAAATGAATTCCTTCATGGCTGTTGTGAGCTTCTTCGCCATCACGTAAGTGAATTTGCCCAATATAACGTTGGTCTATTTCCCATGGTGTGATTTCTATTGTGACTCTGTATCTATCTCCGGTATAAATAGTTCTCTATCCAATAAATGCTGATAAATGATTATATCGGTATCTCTCTCATGCAGCTATTACTCATGTAAAGGATTATGAGAGTTGTATTGTTAACTCCGTATATGGCTACGATACAAATCAGCCTCCTACGTACAAAGGTTGATAAAGGATAATAAAAGGATCCATCTTTTTGCTGACTCCATCACTGTCGACCATAAAATTCTACCTCCCCCTTAAGGGCTGAAGAGAATGCTATAGGTAACGACCTCATATTTGTCTAAAAAGAAGCTTATCCAAGTGGGAAGAGTAATGGCTACATCCTCACATTCCAATTGACTTATTTGATTAGTGGAGACGTAATTGAGCGTCCGTATCATTTGATCTCAAAAGGAACCCAATTAGGTCACCCAAATTCAAATGTGAACATAATACATGCGCTAAAAATCTTCTTTATCAACAAGTTTGGTGCAAATGCCAAAAACCTGATGTTTGAGGACTCGTTTACTTGTCGACGTTCATTGCATTCATAGACCCATTAAGACAGCCTTAATAAAACAAATTCTCGCTAAAGTGTCTCACGCATTCAAATGACTTCTTGTATGCTTCAATTTACAATTATTACCAACCATTTTTGAAGAATTTAAAGCATTTTGTTTTACAAAATCCAAAGGCTCATTATATTTTGTATTTCCTTTCAGTGGCTTCTTATCAGGATACATTATACTAAAAACATCAGTTCCCAAAGTATCGGCATATATCCTCATCATAGTTGGCCTCGTCAGGCGGTACATCAGGTAAGCGGTCAACATTACAAAAAATGATGAATGATTTGTTTATGATTTACACACTTAGATTATGTTGGAAAGCGTTATTGATCTCAATCAACTCGGTACGTTACAAAAACAAGAAAGGGGTGTAATTGTAATGCACATGGCGTTTTCATTGCATGTTCAAGTGGGTTCACGTCGCCATCATTTAGCTTGATATCTGTTTAACTTTTTTAATTCACGCGCTTCTTTTCTTATTCACTTTATGAGCTATTTTGAAACTACAATTCTGAAAGAAGTAAAGACAACTGCAATAGTCTCTCTATAAAGTGCACGCCATCTAGCAGCAGCCACGCAAGTCATCGAGTCCGCCATTGTTTAGGCACTAACACTGAGCATGTACAAGGATACAAATTTCAGTACTAATTTTCTACCAAAAAAAGAGGGCAGCACGGTGATACGCACAAATCACTCGAAGGCAGAAACCTTCGTGTCTCATTATACAAAAAGGCGTCGTTCTGTGAATATTTGGAGCTGCGCTTCATGAGCTTTTGTGACCATGTGCACGAGCACAAAGACAATTTCTTCATATTTTTCAAGCCAGAGCGAGAGCACGCATGAGTTGTTCGTCAAACTCGGCAACTCTAAAGAAGAGACCTTTGGAATAATTCAGCATGTTTATGTCAAAATGCGGAGAATTGTGCGAAGTATTTTGAGTGGCACTCGCGCTTCAAAAATGGCAAAAGTCGCTGGAAGACAAAGAGACGCCAGAAAAAGTCGACCTGCCTCTCTTCCCCTCACGGCCAACTTTCTGAAACATTCCTCGGAAGAAAACGTCTTCAAGGAGATATAAAAGCTCTAGCTGACATGCGTTCTATGATATCCAGGCAATTACCGTCCGGTAATCACTGTATTTTGCCAAGAAAATCAGAAATTGACAATTTTGTAACGCGGCCTATAGAATTCCACGCAAAAAAAAAAGCTTTCTAGAGCTATAGAATAGAAACGACACGCGTCCAAAAGTTTAATTATTGCTTATTAATATGTTATGTCTGTTATCTAAAATAATCCTGGGGACGTTTGTTGTCGTTCAGTTAAAATTATCTTCTTTTGTACATTTAGAGAAGAAGCGCCGAGAGAGGATGTCTAAGAACGTTGGGGGATCAGCGATATGCTGTCATTAGGCTGCGAGTGGGAACACACGCGAAAAGGATAACAATGAATTACTTATCACGTGTATGATACTCTAAAACGCACCGCTAACGGCAAAGCTTCAGGCGTTTTTCTACACCCCGTTTCACCATCGCACGACTCAACCGTAAAAAATTATATGCTTAACTTAAAAGGAGTCAGTTTACTTTATGGAACCTCCATAAATAGGTTTAGATTAAAGTGATCGCTCCCATCCAAATTGAAAGTGAAATGCGACTGACAAAGCCTTTAAATTAAAAGTTACTTTACTTATTGGATCCACCCACTCTACTCATAGATGCGGTTTGGGTGCCCTCTAATGTCCGCCGAGCCCTATTCACACGCAGCGAAAACGGTGTGCGCTAACGGTCACCTCCATATTTCTTAAGAAAGTTTGTATGAAGAAAACCAGTCACCATCTAGTAGAGGTTAAGAGATGTAAGATGTAATCAAGAAACCGGGAATATATAATTACAGCAAGAGTACGAGTACACAACGTTTCGGCGGAATCCCTTTGAATAAATTCTACGGCTGTCGTTTTGCCCCAAGGGTTCTTTGCCGTCTTTTAATTGCGCCTTCGACCCCTACGCTACCGCGCTTGTTATTTTATACTGTAATTACAGTACATATTAAACAAAGCTTACTGGTATCGTACAACTATGTTTATTTAAACGGCATCTTAGATGGCATGCTATAACTCTGTTATCTATGGAGCATGGCGTACGATTTGGATTTTTGCGTTTCGTTGCAATATTGGAGTGTGCGTACTAGTATTTCGTTTCTGCTCTCCGATGTCTCGTCATTAAACAAAAACATTTTTGTTTATATTTTTGACCTTTTGAGTACTATTGTATTATTTTCCCTCTTATGGATGATGGTAATTGTAAGCATAAATTTGTTTTGCTGTTCAAAGAAAATACATGCCAATAATTGTTGGTTTTGTATCGTTGTACTGCAGTAACAATGAAATTTAGCTTTATTCCCAAAGGAACGAAAACAAGACCTTTTTCTTTGATGAATAAAAAGTTCGTACAGGATAAGTTACTTTCCATTATTAAAATTGCGTTTTTCTAAAGTAAGTTATGGCTTTTATACATCGCATGAACCAAAAACTTTCGATTTGTTTTGTTATTTCCTTACGAACAGCGTTTATTCTGTACGAGAAGTGTGAACGTAATTAAAAAATATCCGCCTAAAAGATTAGTGACTCGTATTATATGTATTGACGCAGGGATAGAATTCACATAATTCTTTGAAATGCTTAACACATTTCACCTTTGTTATCACTGGACGCAGGCTCATTCCATCCATGATGGCTCTCATAGGATTTGTGTACTTGGTTCCTCTGATTGCTTCGGGCCCGCTGCTGTTCGACATGTGGCCTTTGTTTGAACGGCCGTGCACCGTACATTGGTGGAAGGTTCTCACCATGACCCAGAACTACATGGATGAATTCACGGATATGGTGAGCATAAAACTCACCTCATGAGCGTGCTTGATTGCTGTATTCCCATAATGCTAATTTTATTTGTTCAACTCAAAACGTGCAAAGATAGTTCAATTCAATTGCTTCGTTTTTGTTTTCATAAAGAAATAAGAATTTGGAAATAGTTCACAAGAAGATAGTTGCAGAGAAGTAAAAATGGTACAAACTCAATGCGAGTTAGAAATCTGTCAACATTACGTCCCTTCATTCAATGAATCGTAAATTAAAAACGTGTAATTAAATTAGAAAAAAGCAATGCCAATATGGTTTAAAGTAAATGGAGCCTCTAAGGAAATCTTGGTTCATTTTATTTCAGTTTATTTCACAGTGACTCATATTTAATGTAACGAAATGAGATATCTCGTGCATTGTAAAGTAAGTATAGTATACTGCACAACTAATGTTAGTCTATGCGATATGCCCCTTCACTTGATAAATTCGACAACCAGTTGAAACAGCTAAAAATAAGTTAATATTTTAAGTTTCTAACTACATCGACATTAGTATTAAATATGCCACTGTGTGAACGGAGTCCATGTAAAATTTTAGATATACCTAATTTGTGATGAGGGTCATTAAAATGGACATCAACTATGAAACGAGATTATTTAATAGAAATATGGACGCAAAGAAAAACAAATTCCCTATATACACCAAGACCACGCAGTTAACTTTTTTTGTCCAGCCGATCCCTGTTGAGTTGATAAGAAAATTATATATTTATTAATCTCTTTCAAAAATGACACGACAAATCCTTCCAGGTTTCAGTGACACTGAGTTGGAATGAAAGTAGTAACCTGCCGCAGCAGCATATTCTTTTATAATCACATGAAGAACAAACTGGTCTGAACAGATTTAAATCGATCAGCACATATTAGAACACACGAGAATGAAATAAGGCGCGGCTTTTTATGAAGTGCTACGAGGATTCGGTTTGAGTGTACACCCAAAAAAAAACAAAAAAAAAACGGTAAGGCAGCGAGAGCTCACCAGGAAAACAAAGACTTCACTAATAGAAACGTAATCGCCCCAGAACCAATCATTAACACACTCAACGTATGACTGCAATTTGTATAAAACTTAGTATTTATCGACACAACCGAGCAACTTTGAGATATCAAGTTGCACTACGTCAACTTGTCTATGCTGAAAAGTAATCAGTGAGTGGATATTGCATTTTATCTTCACGAAATTACGTCCGCGTGGCGTGGGCACGACACCTCTCCGACGCATTCGGTGCCATATACAGAGGCTGATTCAGAATGTTTTACTACATTGCAAGTTTACAATTTTTAATCCAGCGCGACTTCTATTTTAGCTCTAGCGAGAACACTTGGAGGTTAAATATCCGTAACCGTGACAAAAACATCTCTTTACTAGACGTTAGTTTAATGGCATAACATGGGTTTTCGAGAACTCAAGATTTGGCATTCCATGCGGTGAAATGAATAGTAGATAGGGAGAAAAACTGGAGTTTTACCATTATTCCTAATTAACTTTTGGTTTGCTATAAATGGTTGCGCATATATACAAAGATTTGACACATGTCACTTCTGTGTGGAGGCGAAAATTATTAAGCATCAGTGACACAATTTAAATTCGTTTCATATCTCTTTAAAAAAAAAAGTTAAATAAAGAGGTAGAAACAAATCTTAATAAGGCGCGAATTTAAAAAAACAATTACGCAGTTTGTCCTGTCTTCACTGTTTATGTGTTTCCATAGTTTCAAGTTATTTTTGCGTTCCTTACTAATAGGAATGTTGTTAAGTATTACATTTGGTATTACTTTTACATAAACCAAAGCTAGCTTGTGATGCCTAAGCACAGGTTTGGTTAGAAACAAAATGCTTAGGGCGGAAGAGTGGTCTGGATGTTGGGCTTCAAAGTACACCCATCAACTAGCTTGTTTTCCTCGCTCCGCGCATTTTTTCTTGAGTCCCGGATGCCAGTGAAATGTGTGAGATATGTCACGCTGCAATGTAGATGCGCCGAGGCATCGCTACAGAGTAGGAGCTTGAAGCTGTACCGGTGAAAGAACTCCACCGTACTAGCGAAAGTTCATCTTTCTTAGATGTTGCTTGCTTGCACCAGATACTATTGCAAAATATTTTGCATTTGTGAAGCTTGCCTACACTTTCAACTTGAGTAATATATTCGTACTGATGTCACAAACTTTGTTCTAACCTTCCAGAAATGTTTTTAGCTCTGACAATTTTGTTCTTGAGATCTCTTGGTGCAGCGAAATGATGTACATGTTTCACGGGTCCACCATACGTATGCTAGGAGCTAATCAGAATTGAATGACATCCCTCCCGGAACGATCGAGGGTCTCCTCCAGAATGTTGCGATGAAGACGTTGCGGCTTGAGCCTACATAAAATAATGCTCACTAACGAACTTTACTCGACAGATGATACATATGCGGTACTTTTTTGTACATATATAAGTCGAACGATGCATGTCAGGTTTCTCACCAGAGCATTTTGGTTTGCAGTGTATGCCGCATTTCTGGTACGTTTCGGTGGACTTCCAACTGGCTATCTTCAGTACAATCATTCTAGTGGCAATCGTCCCAAGGTGAAATCTTTATTCATACAATCGACATTACTTTATTCTTAAAACTTTAAGCATGTCAACAGAGTGAGTATGCTAACGTCCTATTGAAACTCTTTCGTTTCAGGTGGCCTAAAGTGGGTATCGCCTTTATGGCAGCAATTGTTATCTCAACCACAATAGCCGTGGGAGTAGTCACCCACCTTCACAACTACATGCCTATGTCGCTGGTCCTCACAACAAATATAAAGTAAGTATCAAAATTAAACATAACTACATATGTAAATAATTTCATCACGCTGCTAATCCAAAAGGCTTACCGAGAAGTTGGAAATTTATAGTATCATCCCCCACCTTCCCTCGGCAGGTATATTAACTCCATCATAAGCCTTCTTCATTTTACTCAGTAATCAGAGAATATTTGTTTCCAAATATCAAAGTATTAGGTCCAAAGCAAAAAAAAAAATAATAATTCAAAGTTTACTGCAATTTCCCGATACAACAGATTTTGCAATGAAATTCTCAAGGGGGCATAATCTGTGCACCACGGCGACATTAAGAAACACGTGGTACGATCAAGATTCTTGTTAAGAGTATATTTGCCCTTTATATTAACTGAGGATTTAGAAAACCCAGCGCGTGGTTTATTGGTTTGTCATGTTAACCTTTCTTGCTTCCGGATTTTTTATTCTGTGTTCTAATTCACTGATGTCGCAATCTAGTTGGCTAAAGAGCGATAATAAACTATTCACGCCCTGCGTTTGATAAGCTATCAATTGCTATAGTGTGGTTTTCCGTGTCGTGCGTTCGGTTCGAAATTTCGACGTATGCCACGTTGCCGAACTTTCGCCCCATATGTCTTTCTAGGAGCGGAGGCATTGTTTTCCAGCTCGCTCGAGATCTTTCAAGTTTTGATCGAATGCGCTAGCAAGAGTAGTCGGGAACGCAAAAGAGCATTGGCTGGTGCTCTATATTTAAACAAAACGGTATTTATGGGGACTTTATTTCGATGAGTCGGCCTAGAAACGCCCACCCGGCGGCATCCAAGATAACACCGGTCGATGCCGGCGGTTCGACTCCGAAGGGAGAACAGCAAAGTAAGCATTGGTTTATGCGGCCGCATTACATATTCGGTCGTACGCACCGAGTTCTATCGTCGACGGAGCCACTCGCCATGCTTATCCGTCTCCGCAACAGCAAAACGCGACACCAGTAACTAAGCGTCTGGATGCAAACTAATGGGGAAAGCGGCAGACGCTGCTCATCAACAGGGTGGAACGCGGCTTACCGGAAGCGAAAAGGGTTTCGGGGAAGCGCCCTATAATTAACCTTATATAAACGAGTGCGGTGGACTGGCCAAAGTGTACTACAAAGTGCTATAAACATTTGTGTTTGTGTTTTTTTCGACAGGGCTTTAATCGAGACTGGCATGTACGTGTACAACAAGGCTTTTGCCCACGCCCCAGCCCTTTTCACTGGAATCATCTTCGGCTGCCTCGCCGCCAAGCCGCACCAGCTATCTCGCAAGACACAGGCGTTCTGGTGGACGGTGGCGACAGTCTCCGCCTGCACGTCCCTGTTCGGCATCTACTCCTGGAACAGAGGTCGTGCGCCCGAGCACCTCGAGACAGTGATCTACGCCGCCATGCACCGGTTCACCTGGGCCTTCGCCGTCTCCTGGGTCATGTACGCATGCGCGACAGGCCGCGGTGGACCGGTCAACAAGATCCTCGCCAATCCGCTCCTCTACCCGCTGGGACGGCTTTCGTTCGCCGTCTACCTGGTGCACGCTATTGTGCTCGGAGTCAACGCCATTCTCAGCAGGGAGAGGAAATCTCATCAACCCTTTCTTCAGGTAGGTTCCTTAGCGATAACGGTCAAGAACGCGTGCCTTCCAAACTAAAACATTTGTTTGACAATTATTCTTATCTTTTTTTTTTACCCGACTCATTGCCGTCAATGCATATGCCTTGTTAGATGCACCCTATAAGAAAGCAAACTCGTAGTTTTCATAATTCAATTTCAATTCGATTTTTATTCGAAATGAAATCATATAATATAAAAAGATGGCCCACAAAACCAGCATTCTGCTTCTATGTGGGCCTTGTGATTGACTGTATGACAAAGACAAGTGATTCGTAAATTATGAACTAGTTATGTCCTCTTGTTAAAAAAATAATCGCTCAGATCACGCGCGATAAGCGTACGAAATCCACTGGCTTCGTTTCTTCTGGGTTTTTTTTTCTTTTTTTTAGCACAGATTAATGCACCATGATCCCCGGCCCGCCTTTAATGAAGGACCATTGTCTTCAATTAATGCGGGCAGTGTTTTGTCAACACCAACGATGTTATTGCTTCATGTTCGTGTGAACTGTGGGAAGGTAAAGGGTCCTACGCACAGTCGGGTTTGAGAGCGTTTGACTGCTTTGCGCCTGCGAGGAATCAGGAAATCCCTGCGTCTTATGTCACGTGCCACGTTATTCTTCGAATTGGATTCCACGCTTCATACGAAGCACAGATGTGCCGGTGACTCGGTTTCCTATCTTGACGCAACGCACTTAAACGCACCCAGACGCTTGGAAACGCAAATGTGCGTAGGGGCAATAATATTTTGGCAGTCTAAACTAGTAGTCTTGCATGTAATTTCTACGCAACATACCTAATATCATCGTATTATGGACATCTCGAAACATAACCCTCATATGTTTGCCTAGCTAAAAAGCGAGAAACATTACCTTAAAAATAACGTTATTTCTACATTAAAAATAACCTTTATTATACCTTTATTTGATGAAATCTTGCAAAATAGTGGTGCCGGGGTCAAAACAAAAATTAGTGATTGTCTCGCTGAAGCTCATTGGCGTACATTTAAAAACAAAAAAGACGCGTGTAAACTGAGCTTTGTACGTTCTACGTAATTTTGCTAATAACTTTCTAGAGAAATCCCAACAAAACGTAATACATTGGTAACAGAAAGAAAGAAATATTCTACGATGACAACTTTTACGTCTCTCTTTCAGGCTCAAGATTACATATCAGCGACTATCACGTCGTACGCATTTGCCACCATCAGCTACCTCTGCATCGAGTGTCCAATCGCCGTCCTTGACAACCTCGTGTTTGGAGGGGTCAAACCGAAGAAAGACTTATCAGTCGAAGCGCCCAAGCAGAACGGAACGCACGAACTGAAGAGCGTTCACATCGCGAACGGTGTTGCCAGCAAAGGGGCTCTCTCCAAGCCCATCAATGGTATTCCCACGAGCGTAACCAGTGACGGCGACAGTCTACAAAACGAGGAATACAAGAACCAGCATAGTGCGCACGAAAACGCCGCCTATGAAAAAGAATTCGGGGTGAAAATTATCACCAACAATAATGATTCGACGGTAACAGTACAGTTTTAAACCCTGTTAACTTCTTTTACTCAATTCATGTTACAGAAATGTTTGTATGTATTGCGAGCGTGAGTGTGTCGCGTAGTCTAGTTAATGTTAAGTATGTTTTGGCATTTATATCGAAATAGACAAAATACGTTGTCTCATTCACCAAAAGCTTTTTTTTTTTTTTTTTTTTTTTTTTGGGGGGGGGGGGGGTAGGGCGTTTCTTCGCAATGGAAAGACACGCGCCAGATAATTTTATAACCTATGAATTTCGATAACGTAAAACTCGCGTATAAAATTGGCAACAACGCGTGCTCACTGTTATCCCTCATTCTCAAGCTTCAGAATTGTTGCGGGTAAAGAAAACAAAAATATCCCAGAACTTTTTTGTTTCTTGTGCGAAAATCACGTCGTGTTGTTTTGTTTCAATGTATAGGGTGGTCCAAGTCACCAGGCTCGACCTAAAATGGTCCGTAAAAATCGACGCCTGCACGCAGCAATCTAAAATTTGCGTCAAAGGTGTATATCACAGCTCGGTTTTTTCTTGTAAAATTACAAAGCGTAGGTTTCTTTCTGTAAAAAATAACGCCAAGATACTGGCCAGGGTCTACGGCGAACAGCGACGCAGACGACAGGGGTTCAGTAGCGGGGTCTGTTTGGCGTTCGTGTTCATAGATGGCGTCGGAAGCAGCGTCCGAAGGTGCAGCCGAGCAGCGAAAGAAAGCAGACAATGCGCAGACGAAATCCGTTGGCAGCAAAAGCGCCGCAGTTATGCAGACGCGTTTTTTTACTTTAAGTTTTCCTTTTGTTGTCCGCATTTATTTTTTAACCGAAGGCAAATTACAAAAAGATTATATTCATTTTAATAAACCACGGTGGACTCGAGCCGTCGCGAAAAGGAGGTAGCGCCATCTATCAATACGAACACCAAACACGCCCCGCTACTAAACCCATGTCGTCTGCGTCGCTGCCCGCCATAGACCCTGGTAAGTTTCTTGGCCTTATTTTTTACAGAAAAAGAACTACGGTTGTAACTTTACAAGAAAAAACCGACCTGTGGGTTACACCTTTGACGAAACGTTTAGATTACTACGTGCAGGCGTCGATTTTTACGGTCCTTTTTAAGTCGAGCCTGGTGACCTGGACCACCCTATATAGTATATGTGAGTAATATAAACACAGCAATTGTTTTTCCTTTCTTTACATTCATTTCTAGAATGTGATCTTCATTTTTTAAATAGCTTTCTCAATCATCGCCAACTTGTACATATGCAATCATTTCATTATTTATGTTACATAAACCGGTGCGAAGGACATGTGATGCTATTACAAGTGCATACGGTCCTTCCAACGTGGATGTCTGACTTCCCTGCATTTAAATATTTCACATCAGCGTAAACACGTGTGAGATACTCAATAAAATACACTATAGACATTTCTGTTTCTTCATTGCTTGCTGATACGAAGTACTCGCTTTAATAGTTAATAAAAAACATGCGGTAATCACACTCTTCAGGAGGTGCCTGCCAATAAAAAAGATAGTATGGAAGCATATGTGCAAATATGATCGACAAATACGCTCCCCAAAAAAGTGTATCACCTGAAGCAACCTGGGGTAAGTGAAATTGAGAAAAATGCTTATACGTTATACATCTTGCACATATCTAGGTGAACTTCTCCGACGAAGCTGAAACAAGTACGTGAGGTGTATTTTAATAACCGACTAGTTTTTATATAGGAAGCATTTGAATACAAAATGTTTAGACAATCCATTACATTCATAGCTCAGCTGAGGCAACTAAAACTACGAATGGGAACTTACCACACTCTAAGAAAAAAGATGCTTTCAAAGGACTAACGGCAGCATTTGGTTCTCTGAACTCCCATTTGTTCCTCGAAGAGACCATATGGTTCGAGCTAGGTGCCGTACGTGTATACTGAGGACTAACTGCACTCGACTGAGACTAAACGATAGGCGCGCGGGATTAAAGCAGTCGCAGAAGCCAAAGCGCGGGAACAAAAGCAGCGAGAGTTGCGGGAGCAAGAGCGCGGAAGCAAAAGACGCGCGGACAAGATGGCGGCGTCTGCTGCATCGCCGATGGCCAGCGTTAGCGACGCTTTTACTGTTTCGGAACGCAGGGGGAGGTATCCACAAATTACAGGAGGGAGCATGTTGAAGAGTTGGAGCTGACTTAGTAATGACCCCAGCCTCTGTTCCAGCACGTCATGGAAGCCAGCACGTACTCCAGCGCCGCCATTTTTGATGCACTGGCTGAGCGGCTTTTGACCGTTGTCCTGACGTCCTTGCCCTTTTCATTCTTTGAAACATGCTTTGAGAGCGTTTATATTTTCTTTTTCGTTTAATTGGGAGAACAATAGCCACGTAGCATGTGGTGAAAACGCTTCCAAAGACAAAACAAAATTCATTTAGTTTTTTTTTTTGTATTCTTCCCATTTTATGTGTTTGTTACCTTTTTTCGCAAAAGACGATGTGGTTGCCACGGATACGCGCATGCGCAAAAGTGGGGCAGTCTCTGCGGGGAAGCGAGAGCATGGCTACTGGGAGCCTATGGAACGCTGTTTAATAGACTGTCACAAAATAACTGTGTGTGCCGTTATTTCTTAGTAAGAGATACACTCCTTGGAAAGTTTAGCAACAATATTGGAGAACAATATTGGTGCGAAAGCAACATCATGTTTGTAACAATGGTCACGTAACAAACAACTTATTCCATATGATCAGTGTAAAAGGCGCATCGGTAGCGTCCGGGGGTGGTGACTGAATTAGCGTAACGTCGCGTGTGCACATTTTGCACCTGGCGTTCAGACCACTCGGACGAAAAATGGCTGGCTCCCACGGAGCAGTGATAACGGCCAGCTCCGGCCGCGGTTCATGTGTTCTTTCTCCGACGGACGATTACCGTGTTGTTCTCCCACCCCTGCCAGCAGGATTTCTTTGTGTGTGAACCCCTGTCTTTCTTCTTTGCGATGTGAAGGGTCGACTCTACCGGGTAGACCATTTCAGGGCCGAACTGGAACGCCATAGCGTGATGAAGGTGATTGGCGCTATCAGATGAACCACCTGTGGATGCTGACACTTCACAACGCGGGAGCAAAGTAAAGGTTAGCGGAAGCACGAGAACTCTCTGTGAAGGAGAAGAGGTGCTTAGTGCTTGACCCCGACAACTACGAAGTCCGGTTAAAAGTGCACTGGGCGCCGTTACACGTTCCGGACGACGCTCTCTTTAGAGCTTTTGAGCGGTACGGGAAAGTTCAAGAGGTCACTCGCGAAACCTGGAGGACGGAAGGCTTTCAGAGCATACAGTCGTCCACGAGGATGGCGCGCCTTGGCCTCAAGCTGGGCGTCACCATTGATAGCCTGCCTCAACAGCTCAAAGTCTGCGGCGGAGGTGTCCTGGTTGTGGTTCCCGGACGCACACCCTGTGTTTGCGGTGCAAATCGAGAGGACACATCCGGAAGGATTTCAGGGCACCCTGGTGTCAGCAGTGCCGCAGGGTTGGGCATGCACCTGGAGACTGCGTGCGTACGTACACCACCGTCACCGGGGATCGTTCTACAGATGATGTGCAAGACCTTGAGATGGACAAGGAGGAAGCAGAGGATACGGCACGGAGCGAATCTCAGCAACCACCTCCCGCTCCACCAACGAACGAGCAGGAGAATTCCGGAACGTCAAGTTCTGCTACCGGTCCCCCCGAATCCAACGCTGAGCGAGAGCCCAACGCTCAATTGGCGGGCAGCCCCAGGGAACCAGTCGGAGCAGCTGTCGAATTGACGGAGCAAGTCGCAGAGACCCACGACGCTCCGCTGAGCAAGGAGTGTCAAGAAGAAACTGTGATCGGCGCCGACGACGCATCTCCGACTTACGACTTCCCAGCTTTGCAGCCCCTCGACCCGTTCTCTCTCACTCCCTCTCCAAACAGGCCACATAAGGTAGAACAAAAGTGGAAGGGTGGTTTGACTAAGAAAGGACGCTGCAATCCAATGCCCCGTATCCCACCTGAAGACCGCTGGCGAAAAGACCCAGTCTAGACGGGGACGCCGCCAAGAGCCCGAGACGCCACGCCAAGAAGCGTTAGCAAAGCGGTGACCTTTTTTTTATTCCTTTTCCCGCAGTTTGTTACTTCACATTACGTCACTCAAAACGAAGCAACTTAAGATCACCACGTTTAACTTGGTCAGTTTAATTTCTAGAATAAGGAAACAGCAGCTTCTAAATTTGCTTTTGAAAGAAAACGTCGATATAATTTGTTTTCAGGAAACCAAACTTTCTTCCGAGACCCATGTGAATAACATGAGCTTTTTTTCCGAAATACATCATCCTTTTCACTCAAGGACGGTCGGGCACAGTGGCGGCAGCGGAACTTTGATAAGAAAGGAAGAGGATTTGTCATCTACCCTGAATGGAAAACAGATGGGAAAGGCCGGGATTGCTCGGTGGAAAAGATTAGGTCTCAGGAGTCGGTTAAAGTAATATCAGTACACGTCCCCTTTGACGCGACAAGCCGTACGTTTTTTTTTTTTTTTTTTTTACCAATCTATGGAAGTAATATCTTGACATTCCTGTAAAGACGATTGTCGCGGGAAATTTTAACTGCGTTTTAAACACGCAGGATTGCTTACGCACCTTGCAAACGGACTCCAGCCGGTCGGAACTTGATAAATTACTGCGAAACTTTGACCTCGTGGATGCGATCGACGCGTTTCAGTGATCACGTCCTAGCTACACGTATCGGCAAGGCTGCTGCCACGCCCAACTAGATCGCGTATATGTTGAGCGAACTCATCAGGTCAGTCACGGCGTACCAGGTGTCTCCGGTGGCCTTCTCTGACCACGCAATGGTTGCGTTGCGGGTAGGAAAGGTGAACAGAAACACAAGAAAACCATTCTGCAGGAGCTCTGAAGCTTAATGAGAGGCTCCTCGACGACGAGGCCCTCTGTTCTCAGGTAAAGACACTATATCGGAAGCAGCATAGCTAGGGGATGTTGATGCTGTAGCATG